TGTTATCAGATTTGATGAACTGTAATCCACTTTCATCATTGTTATCGTTTTCTTCTTCCCCGTTTACTTTTTCTATTTTGCTCTGTAGAATCGTTTCATTCAATTTAAAAGTTGCGTATTTGGTGGCAGTTTGGCGAGATACATGTAATGTGGAAAGAAGAAAAGACAGCTTTCCATAATCTGACCAGAACTCAACTGTCCCTTTACAGAAATATGGATCGGATATCATAATCATTAAAAACTTAGCATTCGCATCCTGTGCACCGACATCTAGTTTAAACGACAAAACATTTCGAAACAACTTTCATGAGATTGAACATTTATCTTTGCAACGTGGAAGTAAATATGCAAGAAACATTTTTTTTGGGCGGTTTCGTCAGTCATTTTTCTGAATGAGAAAATTACTTCATTGTGATTGGCTGGAGGCAGGTCAATTTATCGTTAATTCTGATTTGCACCGCAGTGCAAATTAACGCGCGCGCGTTCTAATTTTTTTTCAGTCATACAATAAATGAGTAATCGTATGAAGGGTCAAGCATTTAAGGATTTACACCTCGTGATATTTAAAATTCTTTCAAATTGCACTCGCCTAAACGCTCGTGCAATTTTGAGAGAATTTTCAAATATCACTTGTAATGTAAATCCTCGCATTCAGTCGATTACCTATACTAATGCGTTAAGACACCTGCTTTTTTTATATACCTATTGTGTTTATTTAGTCTAGAAAAACCTTCATATTAGCCTTCGAATACTGCGCGTAACACCGCTTTCAGCCGCTATGTTTTTCTAGATAACGAAAACCTTGCCGAGGAATTGAAAAGTAGACTTTTTGAATCAATAAAAAATAATATGAAAATCAAATGGGTTGATCCATTTTTTAAGCAATTTTATAAATTAGGAACTACATTGGCTTCATACTTTCGACCAGCGAAAAGAAAAACATTTTCAATCGTGCGGACGTTTAATGTACACAAACTCGGTGCTGATTAAGTTTAACCGGTGACTGATGCGAATCGCTTTTAAGCCCGGGAAAGATTTTTTGTTGTCGGTAAATAGAGTTATGGCATTGATGTATTTTTGGGTTCCGGGAGCCAAGGCTCATATGACTTAGTCTGTTCCAGGCTCTCGGTCTTTGGGGACAATCAAAAAAGCGGGCCGGGGACATTGCGGGGTCTGGGAGATAAAAGCAGAGGCTAGGAGCCCTCTCCGTTTCTCTGCCGGATTCCGCCCGTCGCCTTTCCCGCTCGTTCCCCGTCCCCTTTTTCGAT